GATGTTGGGAAAGTGTGAAGGCAAGAGGAGAAGGGGACAACAGAGGATGAGATGGTTGGACAGTGTCGTTGAAGCTACAAACATGACTTTGACCCATCTCTGGGAGGCAGTGGAAGACAGGAGGGCCTGGCTTGCTCTGGTCCATGGGGTCACAAAGAGTCGGACCTGAATTAACAACTAAACAACAACAAAAAGGTCTAAATATTGTCTTTTAATGATGTGAACTAATGTTGCATACTCATTGTTTTCAGATTTCAACTTTAAATACTGCCTTTCATTGTTGTAAGCTAATTTTTGCGCTTTTCAAGGAGATAGGTGGGGTAAAAATAAATTACAATTATTATAATAATAAAACTCCCACAAGCCTTCACCACTAGCTGTCCTGCCCAAGATTTCTGGGAGTTATAGTGCAAGAACATCTTGGGATACATGTTTGGGAACCATAGGTATAAATGATAAAATACTATAAAACCTAGCAGCAACATCAGCATTGACATCTAAAAAAAGCATGCCACATAAGTGGTGGAATAGCCGTTCATAGCCTCAAAAAACCAGGGGAAACAAGTCCACATCAATTCCTACAATGATGTTATACTTCAATGGGACTTAAGAAGAGAATTCCAGAGCACAGGGGTAACGACAACACAAAAGGATATTTTTCGAATACGCTCAAGCTGGGCTGCCTTGGTACCTTTAGAAGGGCAGTCCCAGATGACCTTAGTTGGTGCTGGATCTCATATGGGTAGAGGTAGACCAGTAGGTATTTGAGTACCAAGCCATATAGGACTTTAAAAATATAACCCAACACCTGGAAAACTACTGCCACCCAATGCAGCTGGCCCAAACCAGGCATATCATAACAGCAAGCACCCATTAATAGTCTCACTGCCGCACGTTGTACCAATTGTAGCTTCTGAGTTGTTTTCAAAGGCAGCCCCAGATACAGTGAATTGCAGTCATCTAATCTTGAGGTTTTGAGTTGCATGGATCAGCATGGCCCTATCAGCCTTATTTAAGGAAAGAGAAAGTTTCCAAACCAGAGAGATTTGATAAATTGCTCACCTGGCTATAAATTCCACCTGTTTCTCTAGGAGGAACATGAAGTCTGATAAGACACTCAGATTCCTTACTTGGTTCACAACTAGGGGAGGGGAGAGGTTCTCCATCAAACATTAGACAAGTGACAACTGAATTTATCAGTTGTCAAGTGAATAGCATCGCTACCATCTCATCTGGATTCAGCTCCAGTTTGGTGATCTTCAGACATTTGACCATAACCTGCCACATGAATTGATGCACTTCCGCATGGTGGAAAGAGCCTGGAAAAGTACTTTTTGCATGACAGCTCCAGGAGCCCATCCATCAGCCTGGCCACATTTCCTGGGCAGCTTCTGTGTCTGTCCAGACTGGTGGACTCTCAAAAGGTGTCACATCCTTTGCATTCTTTTTCGTGTTCTCGTGAAAAAGGAGTATGGGCATTTAGATATTTCTCGCCATTCCTCTAGCTCCCTCTTTTGTTTCCTCGGCCTTTTAAGCATCCCTTTCTCTTCTGTTTCTGCCCATTCTCAACTAGCTTTTAAAAAGTGAGTTTACACCATTCTAACGTACCTGTTTACCCAGTTAATTTCATATATTCATTTATTTAAACAGAAAAAAACAAAGCCACTCCATGATAGGATCTCAAGATGCCCATCCCTTAAATAGTTTTAACTGGATCTTTTTCAATATCAGACTAATATCCTAGCCCACAATTCTGCAAGATAGCAGATATTCACCTCTATCCTCTACCTGTACCTCTAAAATTTTAAAAGCACTGTAGCCAATCCTTAGGAATTATGCTGAGGTTACATAAGAGATTAAATCCAGGCCTTCTGTCAGAACCTGGAATTTCTATGAAACCTAGGAAGTCATTGCTTGGACTTACTCAACTGAAGAGTTTCAACAGCGACGTTAAGATTGAATCTCTTGCATGGAACGGCATTTTCTTGCATCTTGGCATTGTATACTGTTAGAACCGTCATTGTGGCTTTTCCTTGGCCTGATGCTACCACGGTGAAATTTTGATTGAGCTTAGTCTGAAAAGCAAACAGAATCAATGCACACCCTTTACTTGAATGTTCTTTTTGTTTCTTTGATTTATTCATTGTTACTACAGTTCTATTTTTTTTCAAATTACTATTTACTTTAAAAGTGCCACTATTTACCACTAATGCCACTCTGGGTTGGTTTTTTTGAGATGTTCTTTAGGACGGTGGTCCCCAACCTTGGGCCTCTGGATGTTTTTGGACTACAACTCCCAGAAGCCTTCAGCAACACCTCTACTGGTCAGGATTTCTGGGAGTTGAAGTCCAGGAACATCTGGAGGACCAAGGTTTAGGACCACTGCTTTAGGAGAGTGGTGGCTTGATGTCAGTGAAGATGGCAGCATAGAGTTAGCTCAGCTCTAAGCCTGAAAAATAATAGACAAAATGAATGTAAATATTTGTAATCAGGAAAGGGAAACACTTTGAGCTGGATAGATATGGGAAAATCAAAGAAGATACCAGAAGTAAATACACTCGACGCCACCACAGATAAGGAGGATCAAAGGGATCCAACCAGGATATTGGAGGAGCTGGAGAGCAAAAAGGAGCCATATGATAAGAAAATGGAAAAGGGGCAGAAAACAAAACTGATGAAGCTAATGACGAGATGAAGCTGCTTATAAAACAATTAAGAAAAGACTTAGAGAATGATATGAAGTGTCTGATCATGCCCCTAAAACAAACCCTCTTAGAGGTTAAATCAAGCATAAGTAGAGCTACTGATACTGTTTTTGAGATGCCACAAAGTCAACAATCCAGAAATGACGAGTTGGAAAATGAGATTTGGCAATTAAGGGACAAACTGGTGGACCACGAAAAGAGTCAAAGACGTCAAAATTTTCCCCTGAGATTTTTTAAGGAGATTAAGAAGGAGAGAGATTAAGAAGGAGAGGATGGTGATTTGAAATAAATAGTTTTAACTTGATCCAAAAACTCTCTGAATTGAGACATAACAAGTAGAAACCTGGACAGAGTCCATATTTGGACAAATTGAACAAAAACAAAAATCATGGAAAAGAGATATAATTATGAGATTTGCTTCATATGCAGTGAAAGCAGACATGTTTTTTTCCTCTAAATAATATCCAGGAATTGGCATTCGAAGGTGAGAAAACAGAATTGTTCCAAGATCTCACCCCTGAGACAATAGAGAGATGTACACAATGACAAAAGTACACACAGATTCTTCAAGAGAGGAAAGTTAAATATATGGGGTTTTTCACTTTAAACTGATTACATGGCATGGAAAAATACCAATAACTATGACTAAACTAACACAGCTGCATGATCTTTTCAAGCATATGAAGATTCCCATCCCTGCTTCACATCTGGCAGAGACATCCACAGATTGAGCAGAACAATGAGAGGGAATGCAGCTTTGCTGCAAAAAAGCAGAAAACTAAAATAACATATCATTGAAAGGAAAAATAAAGACTTTGTCTGAATAGCTGGTCTTTTCATGGCCACAGTAAGAGTTTTATCTTGAAGATAATTGCCAATGTGAGTCAGCTGAGCTGCTTGCTAATATACTGTAAAATATACTGAGTGAACAGCTTTATTATAAAGAGAAGAGAATGCAATGCAACATTAATGTAATAATTCATGCTTCTATTATTAGATAAAGACAATGATGACCTACAAGTAAGATGTAGTGACAAAGTGTGTAAGCAGTTAAGTAATAACCGAAATAGAAATATAGTATGGCATAGAGAGAAGAATAATATATCTACAAACAAAAAGAATATTAAATATATTAAATCTTTAAAATAAGCAGGACAGAGAGTGGGCTGCAAGAATAGGTGACCTTCCCTCAGAGGCATATTTAGCTCCACATTATCCCACAAGGCTCAGCTCAGAGTATGATATATACGTATATATATATGATGTTTGTAGTAATAATAGCACATATGCTCCCAAACTGTACATAATTTTCATAATTCTATAGCATTTAGCTGGTGAGCCTAGACAATACACACACACATAATCATTAGCACCACAGTTATAGAAAATAGGGATTGCACCAATCATATCTTCAGATCATGCCCCAATAGAAGTACTATAGAGTCATAATACTTTAAAGAATAAACCAAAGATTTGGACATTAAGCTTTAACATACGGTACTTAATAACCCACAAAAAGATATTCAGCTTTTCAATGAAATAAATGATAAAGAAGAAATAAAGCCAACAATATTATGAGATATTCTTATATGTTATTTAAGAGGAAAATTTATAATGGAGGGGGCAAGCATGCAAAGACTGGTGAGCTGGGGGTGGGCAGGAGATGGTGTTGGGGGGGCTTTATATGAAGCCTGATGAAGGGCTTCATGCCCATCTCTGTTTGCTATCCTTACAGCTAGGGCTGCAGCAGAATATGTTTTTTTCTACCAGTCATGTCCATCTTGTGGCTCTTGCAACTGCTTGGCACTGCATTATGATGCTCTTTTTTTCTATTTTGGACTAGTTTGGGAAGCCTCCACAATGATGGCATTGGATGGCAGAGTGGTGAACTGTGAGGTGCTGGTGACTGATGGCCCTTAGTTTTGTTTGGGTTCTGTTTAGTGTTTCTTTTCTTTGCCTGCCTGTGGATTTCTTTCTTTTCTTGGGTGTCAAAACTGAAGTCAGTTTTGTGGCTGATACAGGTGTGAACAGACTGTCCTCAATATTATTCGCTGCAGTTTGTTGCAGAGGTTCCATTTCTTATGGGTTGGATCATCCAAGGCCTTTGTCAATATTGTTTCAGACTTCCATGAAGATAGATTTTGATGATGTTTTGAAGACTGAAACCATTGAAACCAATGCTGTCTGTTGTTGTCACCAGTAAAGATCTTTCCCACAAGTACACTTTAAATCTAGACTGCTAGTTCTTGATTGATCGGTACATTTTTGGGAAATGTGCCAATTTTGAGTTTGATGCCCTTCATCCAAGCAATAAAGGGTCTTTAAAATGCCCATAGGTGAGCTGTATTTTATTAGTGCAAGTGACACACTTCTTAAATGGGCCCACAGGGGCCATAAAAGGCTGGAAGGCCTTGAAACATAAAAAAACATTATTCATATGTGTATATATTTAGTGTAGGGATAAGACAACAAACAACTCACAGAAGATAACAAACACATCAAAGAGATAAGAACTATTAAGGATAAGTAACTATATACGGGAAATTTTTGATGAGAAGGGCTCCAGAAGCTCTGAAGATGCTATCCAAGTGGCAGCTGAAAGGGAAATGAAGATTAAGGGTAGTGTGGGTCATATGCTCAGTAGAAACGCTGTGGCCTAACTGTTTTTCAAGGATCTGAAATGTTTCACAGGCACAGAAGGAACCCATTGGTGTGAATCAGAGACCATGAAGAAAAAGCCACTTTTCTTGCTATCAGCATCATAAAGCAGCAGAGCCAGTGAATAATAATGGGTTAAGTAGAAGAAGAGGCTGTCGGAAAGTCCAAAATCTGTCCTGTATAAGTTTGATTACTTGGGTTATTTGAAAAGCTTCATAATATTTTAGTAGATGTGGTATTGCTAACCCCCCCATTTCTACTTGGGCCACATGTTACTCTGTTTATAAATCTCAGGGATTTACTTTTCTCTGCAATAAATTTTTCCAGTATGTTTTGCCATTGTTTTATTTGTTTGTTCCCAACTGTAGAGGGAAATTTTGAAACTGAAATTGAAGTTTTGGTAAGATATGAGCTTTTACTATTGCAATTCTTCCTAATAATGTTAGATTTATTTTTTTCCATTTTTTTCCTTTATAGAACTAAATACTTTTTAATAGTTCCTATAGACTAGTGGTCTTATATTTTTTGTTATCCAAATCCCCAACTATTTGAAACTTGAATAACATAGGTCTAAACATGTTCTTTTCTTGATTTCTTTTTGTTCTAGGGTGGGAGTATTTATACACAGCAATTTAGATTTATCATAATTAATTTTTAATCCTGTATAATATTTGAATTTTTCCAATATTTGTTTCAATGTTTCTATACTTTCCATTGAGGACTATAGGAATAAAATTATATTGTCAGCATATAAATTAATTTCAGGTTGTTTATTTCTAACCATTATTCCTCTAATATTAATATTTTTTCTAATAAGTGCCACAAGTGGCTCTATAGCCAGTGCAAATATTAATGGGGACAGGGGGTCTCCTTGTCTTGTTCCTCTGTATAATTCAAATTTTTCAGATTCAATTCCATTTATTAATATTGAAGCCCTTGCCTTTTTTTCTGATGCAATGTGTATACAGTTTCCCCGAGAATAAGATCTAACCTGAAAATAAGCCCTAGTATGATTTTTAGGATGCTTGTAATATAAGCCCTACCCCAAAAATAAGCCCTAGTTAAGTGAAACCCCGCCCTCCACCACTGTGCAGCACTGTGCAGCAACCAGATGATATGACTGTAAAATAAAACATCTCCTGAAAATAAGCCCTAATGAATTTTTTGGAGCAAAAATGAATATAAGAACCTATCTTATTTTCGGGGAAACATGGTAGTATTTAATCTCTTGCAAGGTGCATCTGGCATTTGTCTCCCTGGCATATCCCCTATCCAATATTGAGACAATCGGAAGATCTATGGAAAATGTGCTGTCCAGATATGGAGGAAATATATGAAAATCTTTGCTCCCCCTATATCTCCATTATGTCCTCTATTAGAACACCCTAAATTTAAATTTCAAGATAAATGCACACAATTTAAAATATGGAAAAAGAGAGAGGAATGTAGAGAATAAGAGATTTGTTTATACAAGGAAAACCTATTATAATTGGACAGCTCCAGTAGAAAACTAGACATATAGTAACTAATTGGTACCAGATAACCCAAATTAGAAATTTGGCAACTCAGTTATATAAAATATCAGGTTCAAACAGACCACTAACAGAAATCGAGAAATGTTGTTTACAGATAGGGAGTGAAAGGAAAACGGTTATTTTCAGAAATGTATAAAAGCAGTATAGACAAATAACTTGGAGGCAATGTGGATCCAAGATAGTTTGGGAGACACATTTAAAAACTGGAATATTAGAAAACACATTGAAAAGAGTATGGACCTCTCAACCTTATAAATCAAGTATCATGTCAAGCTAAACAGTGTTAAAAGTAGTGCACAAGTGGTACTTATATCCTGTGAAATTACACACAATAAATAAAGGAATATCAGACCTGTGTTGGAGGAATTGTAGGAATAAAGGAACTCTGGAATATATGTGGTTAACACGCCCAAGAGTGGAAATTTTCTGGTCTGAAGTAATTAAGTGGTTGGAAAGTATAACAAAAGAAAAAATACTTTCATATGAAACTTTGCTACTTTTTTTGTTATTTACAGGAGAGAATGAAAAAAATTGTGAATAAAGTACTAATTGCAATTATATTAGAAGGAGCCCATAACGAAATTGATCATCAGTGGAAGGACACTCAGGATTTGTCCTTGCAGAGATTTCAAAATACAATACGGTGACTGGCTCTAATGGAAAAACTGACTCATAGCATTAAACTCTATAGAGATGAAATAAAACAGAATAAATGTATGGAAGTATGGTATCCCTTGTTGGCCTTATTGCAGGAGATCAAATGGAAAATGGGCTGAAATGCTAGCTAGATTGAATAACTATAGGATTAGAAGTAAAATACATATAAATGTTTAAACATTATTAGTATACTATAGATAAGAAAATTTTGGAAGTGTAATTGTATATATAGGTAATTATTATTATTTTCTTTTTGTTATGTGATCAGAGGATTGTAATTTATTTTTTAAATCACAAAATAAATTTTTTTTTAAAAAAAGAAGACCAAAATCTTTGAAATAACACAAAAGATAAGAAATAAAGAGAAGATAGATTTAAAAGCCTAAGTGAAACAGACTTCTCCAAGAAGGTGATAAAAATGGAGAAAGACCTGCTGCTGGGTAAGGAAAACAAACACGGCTCAGGCAGAGGTTCCTGAACGAAAGCAAGGTAAACCTGGCTGCAACAATGCTCCCAGCAGCTTTTCTTGCAAGATCAGGAAGGCATTTTGGGGCCTGTGGGTCTGATGGTTAAGAGTTCATGGTTTCTTCTGTCCTCCAGTGGGCTGGTTTTTGTCCTACTGGTTTTAATTCTTAGACTGTTTTGAAGTGTTTTGAAAATGGTTGTTGGAGGTTTTTTGAGCTGTTTGGCCGTGTTCTGACAGACCAATCCCACACACTACACCGGAACACAGACAGAGTTTTAGCTCCTGTCCCCTGAAGATGCCGTCCACAGAGACTGGCAAAATATTAGGAAGAAAAAACTTCCAGAACATGGCCAAACAGCCCTAAAAACCTACAACAACGATCGGATCCCAGCCGTGAAAGCCTTCGAGAACACATTGTTTTGAAAATGTTTTAACTGTTTCAAAGTGTTCAGATCACATTAGATGTTAAAAATATTATTTTACCCTTGCTCCCTCAGATTTGTCACAATAGGACATACATGGGATACACTGATAGTTAAGCAAAGTAGCTGCCAATCTGTGGCATGGAAAAAAGGAGGCGCTATAACATGACACTAGCCTGATTAAGATGTTCTGTTCATTCTCACACTATTATTTTTCATGTAAAGAGACCCATGAGTAAGTGGGAGGGGCTAACCAGCTCCTTTCCCCCATTCATTCCCATTCCCTCTGTCCCTGAACACCTCAGCAGAACTACTAAATGTTTACACAATATATAGCAGTTTTGGCTTTCACACAAGTTTCTGATTGCTGGTTTCACAGAGCCTTGTGTCAAGTCTTACCCATCTTCAGTCCTTGTAGTTAGTGAATGAGATCTAAAAACATAGAACATCTAGTTTTTTCCAAAGTGGAAAATAACAGGGTTTTCTTTTCTTTTTAAATGCTCAAAGAAATGCTGCACCTCTGCTGTTCGGGACAGGAGAGCAGAACCGTAGTTAATCCTGTAACGAATGGCTTCCTCACGCTCTGGCAACTGGATAGAAACATCCAAGTTCAGGTCCTTATGAGTACGAATGTCGATTTCATACTGAGCAAGTGCTTGGAATACCATGATGGTCGCCTAGAACGGGAAGAGAAAGATGAAGTCTTGTCAGTTTGCCTTGAACGGGAGATCTATAAAGGAACTTAGGAACTGGAAATCTGGTGAGAAGAGGTTACTAGAGAAATGGTTTGGCCCCTCATTTTGGCAGCAGGCATGTTCAATACATGTACGCCAGTACAGATCTGGTGCTCCCTGAAGGAAACATAGACAATGTGGGTGGATAACATGTATGTAGGCTCATACGCCTTTAAACATCCATGCATTTGTGGCTGTCGGCACAGCATGGTGTGACACAGAAAGAAGATGGATGACTTAGAATGGCCTTTTGTCACTGAGGGACAGCATAAAAAACTGATGAAATTGCATCCTCTGCATCACTATGAAACCTAAAGGAACCCTGTCTTTTTTCATCTCTATCTTCTAATAGTTCCCGCCATCAGGGTGAAGGGAAATATCCAGACAGACACAAATTTACCACCTCAGACAGCCAAAAGGAGGCAATAATGTAAACGACTATTCATTTTTCAGTAGCCTGACCTGAGAGACAACTCTTCAGAAGCCAATGCCTGAATTCTGTAGCAACGGACAGTAAAGGAAACACTCACCTGAGTTTGGCCATATGTTCCCCCATAATACTTCTGCGCTACCAGCCATTCGACTATGGGACCAGTAGCCTCGAATTTCTTCATTTTCAACAAAGCCAGCAAGCCATAGGAGGTACCTTCGATGTTGTAGGTGTGAGCACCATTTTCTTCCCAATGATTCCCACCTAATTACCAGCAAAGAAATAGATCTTGACTATAGAGATCTTGAGGACATAAGAGCTAATTATCTTAAACCATGTAATTCCTAATTAATTCCTAATTTATATTATAAGATTGTCAATGTATTGTAGTGCATAACAATACCATACTGCAAACTGACTCATTTACTTCCTTCGGACAAACCCTTCACTGGAGAAGCTTCTGTAATGCCATGGGATATAATTAAATTACACACACAGAGAGAGAGAATTTATAACGATAACAATTGTAAATGAGGACAACACTTAGATTGCCATTTTTTGATACCCAACATACAGTACTTCAACAATTTCCTATCTAGTACTTTCAATTAATTTTTTTTTAAATTGGCAAAGCCAAAGGAGCCTATAAGTTTACTGTATATTAAGCAATGTTTTTAATAACGATCAATTGATCTACTAGGGGTTTAATCAGGGGAATAACATAACCTGAAGGGCCAGGTTTGTAATCTGGGTGTGCTCCTGGTGGACCCAGCCGTCTTGATGAAGAATCTGATCTTGGCTGTGGCTAGATCTGCCTTTTTTCAGCTGAGACAGATTGTTCACCTTTGGCCCTACCTGGATAGGTCTACTTTCATTACACTGGTTCATGCACTGGTAATCTCTAAGACTGACTATTGCCATGCTCTTTATGTGGGTTACCCTTGAAGACGGTTTTAAAGCTGCAGCATGTGCAAAAGGCAGTGGCCAGGCTGGTGTTGGGAGCATCAAGATATGATAATGTCGGGCCTATTTGCACTGGCTGCCAGTATGCTCCTGGGCCGTATGGAAGGTTTTAATGTTGACCTACAAAGTGTTGAATGGATTGAGCTTTTGCTACCTATCAGAGCATCTCTCCCTCAGATCTACCAGACTTTCCACCTGCACCTCCTAGGCCCAAATGCTGTGAGTGGCCAGTCCAAGGGAGGTGTGGAACTGAACCTTCTCAGTGGTGGCACCCTCTTTAGGGAATTTACTGCTAGTGGACATGCATCGGGCCCCAATCTCCCAATGTTTAGAAGACAAATAAAAACATTGCTTTTCAGACTGGCTTTTGAGAACTTTCTCACTATTTAATTTAATTCAATTTAACTGTTTAAATGCTTAATTTATTTAATTTGGAATATTGTCACTATTTGAAGTTTTTACATGTATAGTTGTCTCAGTGTGTTGCCTTTTTCATTGTTGTATTTTATCTTATGTTCATTTACTGTCATAAGAAGAGATGGGGATGAATCAAGAAATAAATCACGATATTTGTCAAAAATTATTCTCCATGTATTTCTCGCTTCGTAAAAAGCCAATGTGGAGACACCAACAAATACAAAGTTTCACACATTTTTGATTTGTTGATTTGTCTATCCACTTTTTGGGCCTCCTGTGCCATCTGAAGCCCGCTGCTGCCAATCAGAAGCTCTGAATAACCCTGGGAGAAAGCTAAAGACTTCTGGATTGAAAGGGCAGGAAGCCAATAGCGCTGCTGAAAGGGCTGCGGGGGTGTGCCTTTTTCAGAAGCTTTATAAGCATTTTCCCTACAGCCATTTTGCATTTCCTGCTCAGAGTCTTGGCTCAGGCAGTGGGTACTGCACTGCTGTGTCTTATTGTGTTCACTAGCTTTTCACTGTTGTGGCAGCAAAGCAAACATTTTCCTATTTTATATTTGATTCTTTTATTTCATCATCATTCTTATTTGAAACACTGTACTGGAAATCTGGGGAGGCTTTATAGTAGTACATTTTATTTTATTTATTCTAGTTATTATTATTTTATAGGTTTAGGGTTAGCGTGCGGTGAGTGATCTCTGGATGTGTGTGTGTGTGTGTGTGTATTACCTTTTGCACCTCATTTATTCCTATGTGTGTGTGTGTGTGCGCGCGCGCACACACACACTGTTTTTTCTTCATCATTTTCATCAGTGGGACAGCAGGGAGGACTTTCTTTAGTTAGGCACATTTTACTTGAAAAATTAGTTATTTTTTTAAGGTTTGCTCAGGGTGGGTGAGTATGTGTATTTTCTCCTTTGTCCCCATTTATTCCAGAGTGCTTGTGTAGATTGGGGAGTGACTGGTTGGTTGCTGTGTACTGCAGCCACTACTCGTGTGCTGAAAAAGCACCTATTCAATTTTTAAAAAATATTTCTTTATCATTAAATAAATAAATAAATCTTTATTGGCATACACAAAACACCTAGTCAAAAACTACATTCAGTAAAACTTGTTTGCAACTTTCTGGAACAATATCAACATTTGTTCAGATTCAATGTAATTTTATTATTTCTGCCACAAGATACACTCTCCACCCAATCCTATGTACCTTATAATAATAATAACAAAAAATATTGTCATAATTAGCCCAGTGATTACATCAGAAGATCCTTAAATCTGGCTCAAGGAGAGAGTGCTGGTTCAAACTGTGCTATTCTTGGCATGTTCACTATGTGTGCTAAGAAGCATGCTACTTTATCCACCCTGTCTTCTATCTTGCCCTTTAACAGAAAATGCATTCTGTCTATATGTGACCACTCTCTTACCTTAAGCAACATTGAGCCCAGATATCAAGAGTGAGATTCAAAATAGCAAGGGCAATATAAACACATGTGTACCAGTGACTCAATTCCTCCCAGTTTACAAGAGCAGTTCCGCTCATTGTAAAGAATACCCTAAACCTGCCAGATAATACTGCTTTAGGCATTACATTAAATTTGGCCAGGGAATAGGCTCTGCGTTTTTGAGGCACTTGTAACAGATTATAGTATAGGGCCCTCTGGCCCTGCCTAACAGGAATCAGGGGGCTTGGGGGGGGGGACAGGTCTTATTTGCTGCACTTAGGAGATCCTGGAATTTGAGATCTAATATACCGCATTTAATCAGCTGCAAGGCTTCCTTGTGGGGCAAGGAGTCAAGTGATTCCACTGACAGGCCTATTAGCAAGATTTTCTTTTCAATATAGGCAAGCTCTCTAACGATGGTTGGTTCTCAGAAAATGTGGTGTAAAAACCTGTCCTCTTTGAAGTTACAATGGCTCTTCAACCAATATTTGATTGATCTCAGCCATGCCTGAGTTATTATCATATTTCGGCCCATCTCTAAACAGAGGGCCGCATATGGCGCACAAGTTGGTATTTATGAGTTACTGCAGGAACAACCTATTAACAATTAACTTCAAGAAAACCAAAATAATGGTTTTCTCTAGGCATAGTAAAGCTAGAGAATGGGTTATTGAGGACCAGCATATATAAAAAAAGAAAGAAAAAATATTTGAATAATATGGTTAGGAAGGCAGGGTTATACGTATAGAAAGCAGGTGAAATTGAAGGGCAGTGGCCATGGGGTCTCAAAGGGGAAAAGGTCCTGACTAGGCCAGGCACCATTAGTGTTCCTCCTCTGGTGGTCTTGCAGATGGACATGGAAGCAGAGCTTCCTCCGGAGCCCGAAGAACTGCCCCTCCTCTTCCTGGAGGAATCTGATGAATTACTGGTTCCAGAGGATCCAGAAATCTCCGAGTCCTCGGAACCAGTAATGGCAGGGCAGGCTTCCCAAACACCCCGCCCCTGTCCACAAAGTCATCTCCTCCATTCTCCTAGACCAGCACCACTGGCACATAGTCATTGCAGGCCAGCAGCAGCTCATTGTAGTGCTAAACAATAATGAATTCACGATTTGGCAACCCTGACATTTTATGAATCCTGATGAATTATCATTTTTTCTATTTGTGGTCATTTCCAGTCATAAGCCACTCAGAGTAGTGGCTTGCCACCCGACGGGTGTGGCAGAAATTCAATAAACTAACTAGCAGCCAAATAAATAATCACAAATAATTGCATTTTAAAAATTCATAACAGAAGAATCCTCCATGTGACATTTGAAGGGGCAGAGGGCTCCAACATTGCAAAACCATCCATACCAGTCAGGCTGAAAGCAGCATTAAAATACTGCACTGTCTTCCAATTCAGCTGACTGTATGATGTAAGAATGCACACAGAAAGAAATACATAAATTATCCCTTGTGCCCATGTAGTAACTAAGGCAGGCACCCACTCTTCTTCCTCCAAGTTTGTTCTCATTACTCATAACTTCTTTTTCTGACATGAATAGCCTTCTGTTTTATTAACCAAAACTTTGCTATGAATGTACCTGTTGATGCTGCCATGAGAACCCGGTCATCATTCAACCGCCCTTCAAGGGCCAAAGCATAGGCTGTGAGAGCTATAGTGTAAGGTCTTCGCAAGGTATCATATTTTTTAGCTAAATAGGTAGCAGTTTTGTTGATGCTGTTGTCCAGACTCTGGATTGAAAAAAGGAGAAGAAAAAAGTATGTATACATTAAGAGTGGGAGGAGAATGATTTTCAGACATGGCCCATTTGAATGCCCCAGATTGAAATGTGAAAGTAAGCTTCCTGTAGATTGATTATAACAAACCAGTCTCTCTGTGAAAGTAGAGGGATAATAGTGCTGAGGGCTAACATCCTAAATTTTTGAGGTTGAATAAATTTGTTAAGGTCCCTGAGGTCAAGAATCAGATGGAGGCCTCCATCCTTCTTAGGTACTGTAAAATATTTCGAATAGAAAGCATTGTACAAATTAGATGATGGCACTTGAATTATAGCATGTTTTTGAAGAAAGGTTGATACCTCTTCTTGAAGTGCTATGGAATATGGAGTAATATTGATAGTCCTCAAAGGTGGGAGGGAGTTGAATTCTATGAGATAACCATAATTGATAATAAAAAGAACCCATTGATCATCAATAATATTTCTCTCTATTCCAGCTCCTGGTTTCAACAAACGTGTTTGTCCTGTTGGAGGTGACTGTCTCTTACAATATGTCTCATCATGGAGATACTTACGTTGATGTATTTGCCGCAAATCTCTTTGGACTCCAGCAGAGCAACCAGGACAAAAGCTGTTAATGACACCTCTGGTTCAGCGCCCTCATAGCCTCCCTATAAGGAAGCAAACAAGGAAGAAAACAGCAAATGAATGCAGCATTTGCATATGTAATTTTAAAGTCCCGAAGAGAGCCACAGCTGTGATATTGTAAGAGGTGGTGTACGGAAAAAAGATAGCTTGAGCATATAAAGGTCAAACAAGATGATGAATTTATCATATTTTTTTATTTACATGAGTGCTCCCCTGTTGTGAAAGATCTCTGTTTCATAGAGTCATAGAAGAATGGAGCTGGAAGGGGCCCATAAGGCCTCCAACCCCTTTCCCAATGCAGGAATCTAAATCAAAGTAGATCTAACAGATGGTTGTCTAATATCCTCCATTGTCATACTGCTCTAATAGTTAACAGATTTTTCCTAATACTTAACCTAAAGCTGACTTCTTATAACTTCAGCCATTATTATATGTCCTTCACTCTGGGATAATCAAGAGCAGGTCCTACCCCTCCTCTGTATGACTAGCTTTCAAGCATTTCAAATCTTGCTGTTGAGCTCTCATAGTTCCCTTCAGTCTTCTTTTCTCAAAGTTCAGCATGTCCAGTTCTTTCAGTCTTTCCTCACTGGACTCAGTTTCCAGTCCCTTGATCATCCTTGTTGCCCTCCTCTGCACTTGCTGCAGTTTGTCGCCATCCTTCGTAAAGTGCCATGTCCAGAACAAACAAAGCTGTTTGTCACAGTTTATGATGGTCCTCTCACATATCACATGTTCCTTGCGCTTTGTTTTGAGATTGGTTGTTTGAATGTAAACACATACTTAATTTACACATCTGACTTGTTGTGGCACGTATGTTTGAGAAAATCCTATTGTGGGAGCTAAAATGGGTGAAACATAGGAAATACATGCTCCCGTGTTTAAGCTTCAAGCAGTCAAAAATCTTAGAAAACTCAGAAGACAAAGATACAGGACTTAAAAAAATAATAATTAGGTTTCAAAAAATAGATTCTGAAACAAATAGTTTCAGAATAGATTCCTCCTATGGTCCCAAAGGAACTGTTATTTTTTCCCCTTCCAGTCTTTAAATTCTAGCCTTTGAATTATGCCTCTCTGTTAAGTGTTTCCCCCCTCTTTTTAGTCCATTGGTAGCAGTTGTTTGTTTGCTGCTCATCTGTTTGTTTGGTTGGTTGCCAGTATGTGTGTAGTAAAGAAAGCAGCATATGCAAGTCTGTAATTTCAAGAAATTGTAAATAAATTTATTATATTCTTTCTTCTACAAAGGTCTGAGTGAGTTATTGAGACTTTAAGAGGTGGACTCTGAGAAACTGGAAGCTGTTTTCCACTGTTGAACTCTGTACTTCTGCTGCATAGCAAAAAAGAGAATTTGAACAGAAATCCAAAACTGCAACAGGAACAAAAAGAAAGGGGCTCAGCAAAGGAACGAGAGGGATTAATCTTTCAAAGACAAGCTCCTTTGGAAGGCTGTGGAGCACCAGTACTTCTTGCTTCCATTAGACTTTGTGTAATGTAACTACTCTTTCACTCTGAACACATTGAGAAGCTTAGGTGGGGATGGGCTTTTTAGTACAGCACCAGAGAATACTGGGGATCTCCTGGGAAGGCTAGGAAGAAATCCTGCCTTAAAAGCCCTGGAGAGCTGCTACCAACCAGACTGGACAATATTGAGCTGATGGACCCATGATTTGGCTCAGTATAAAGCAAATTCCCACGCTGCTAATTCCCTCCTGGACTTAAGCCTCTCTTGTGCAGCCATCCCTATGATATGTCACACATACTTCACTGGTCTAATCCTCATTACTAAAGCACTCCCCTCCTCTCCTTCATCTCCCCTTAAATACGCTTTAGCATAGGAACAGAGCAAGATAACTTACACCTTTCTTCAGTCTAGCCCAGATGTCACCCCACTACTGAGCTGTGCTCCCTTCTCCTGAAGCACCCCTGTACCTATTTTCCAGCGTCCCCCTTACTATCATCTCTTTGTCTTCTGTCATTCCATTCCGTACAATCACCTTTCCCCTTCTGATCATCAAATTCACCTCCTTCAAACCTCTTGAGATCTTCGGTCTTTTTCTTTTAGAAAAAACCTGTTCAAACAACTTTCACTTTCCCTCCTCCATACCATTAGGAGCTCCCAGAGAATGGAAAAGTTACTTTTTTGTCAGAATCTCCCAGCCAGCTTGGCTCTGGTCAAGGCTGGCTGGGAAAATCTGAGAACTGTAGAATAAAAAAAGTATCTTATTTAAACTCTGCAAAATCTTACTATCCATATTGCCACTCTCACCTTTGTTTGCCCCTTGTGTCCACCTGGCTAGTTTATTTCTTGTGTTATGGTCTTTTTCATTCTGAAAATTCCTGGACTGTTCACAAGAAATGCCATTCAGAGCAGTAAAAACACATACCAGCATCTCTCCGTGGATCACAGGGGCATCTTCTTGGAAAACCCAATCTGGTTTTTGCTTCTCCAGAATCAGCCACTTTACTCCTCCACAGAGGACGTCAGTGCTAATGGTATCTACAATCTTAATTGGCTATACACCTCACTTCCGAGCGAAACATGGCAGGGTGGTTATTAGCAAGGAGGGGTTCTCAGTAGTCACACAAGAAAGGAGAAGGATCTCTAGGTTCAAGCCACCAGTCAAGATGAAAATAGCACCCCCATCTCTTCACTAGCACAAATTTGGGGTGAGTGGGGGGAGGGCTCAGGCAGATGGAGAATGACCCAGAGCACTACAGTACTCAGTGGGTCAGCTTTGAGGAGTAGCATGTGCTGGGCACCAAATCACAATAGTGCACATAGATGGGGCCTTCATGAGGGGAGATGCTGAATAGGGAGTAAAAAGGTGTGAAGGGAGGCTCCTGGTTCAGACTCATTCAAAGCAATCCTGGTCTTACCAAGTACTAGACTTGCGATCTGGAAATGCAGCATATGAATGATCTGTTTTCTTAAATGCCAACTGCTGGGCATAACCTTAAAAAGGAGAAAACGGAGGAGAATAAGGAAAGCCATAGTATGCTAGGTCAACTTATTAAAAAACACATATTCCTATAGCAACAATGAATTTTGTCTTCAGGGATCAAATTAATTTGATCCCATCCCTGTAAGTAACCTTTGAAATTAAAAAAAAAGAGGAAATGTAACTAAGAAGCAATGCACTGATTGCCCATTAGAGGTTGTTCCCTAGTAATTACAAGCCCTCTATTCAATCTCCCTAGGTGGCAAAATCTATGGAAAAGCGCATTAGGTCTGCATCTGAAGCTTCCATAAGGAATGTATATACAGTAGTTTACTACCAAATCAGATTCAATAAGAAAATGCATTCAGTCTGCTAGTTTAGGACAAACTGAAGATAAAGGAGAATGTTTCTGTCTCCTTTTATCAGTAAACATTTATTTCTGTAGCAGAGTCTATGAGATCTTGCTTTAGTCTTCTAGTATTGGAATTAAAATACAAACAAAAGACAAGAATATATATATATCCATTCCTATAAAAGGACTGATTTAATGTAAGCAAGATGCTACCAAGCATGGAATCAGCATAACTGGCTGAGCCAGAACAGAGCCAAGCTGAGCCAAGAAGCCTGGAGCAGGAAAAAGATAACAGTAGCTGAAGAGAAACAGAAGTATAGAGGCAATACACAGATATCATACATTTTCCTCCATAGATTTTAATTGACAAATAACTGGGTGAGCACATAGAAAATCTAGTATTTGTGTGTGTGTGTGTGTGTGTGTGTGTGTGTTCAAATATGCTAAAAGGCTAAGAAATGTATTTTTACTCAATTTATTGATTTTTTTTTTTTTACAATATGTGGTTTTTAAGGCTATGAGTTCTTATATTTTAGGACTGAATTAAAATTTAACTTCTTATTTGTAACAGAAATATATTTTTCTGACTTAGGTATTTGCCTACAACTTAGGTTCAGTTTCCATATAGTTTAAGCATATACAATATATCTACAACTTCCATCAGAGGTGTAAGAATAATTTTTCAAGTAACATGCCTGTGGCGTCCACCCTCATGCCCCTTTGCTTGACCGTCAAGCCTCGGAACACACGAAGGCAAACAATCCCCTTTTACACTTGCTGCCACCAGGTGATCACTAATTCCCCATTACTTCAGAAAGATTCAGGTCCACACTTCAAGATCCTTTAAATAGAACAATTGTTTATTGATTACAGTAACTTAAATTGATTCATAAATATCTTCAGTAGCTAATTACACCCCAGAATTTCCCAAACTACATACTCTATTACTCTCTCTGACTCTTACTCTCTACTGCCTGACTTGCTGATAGCATCTCTCTTGGCTCCGCCTCTCAGCAATATTAATATGCACGAACCATTACATTACATAACAAACATGACCATTACATAATATAACACGAACCATAGACCTAATAAATAGAGGACGCTACAATGCGTATTAAATGTTTTCAGCAAATTTGAAATATCTTCATGCTTATATGCATGAAAGCAATGTGGATGAATAACATTTGTAGAATTAGATTAAAGTTTACTGGACTCATTTTCTTTCCTGTTTGGCAGCTACATTTCTCATGAACCACGCAGGAACAAGTATGTGACTTATACCTTGATTCAGAGATAAATTAATATGATTGTCATTATCATCTGGTTCACACTGGTATCTAAGCCTTACAGGGATAAATGTTAGCAGTGATGGACCACCACAGCCACAAACTACGAAGGGGTGTTATTTATATTGTTCTGAGGGTCTTGTTTGAGTGTTATACCTTTGACCTTGTACAGTGGTGCCCGGCATGACGACGATAATGTGTTCCGTTAAGAGCGCTGTTAAGCAAAATTGTTGTCATGCGAAAATAAAAGCCCCACTGGAATGCATTGAAAACTCGTTAATGCGTTCCAATGGGGAAAATATCTCATCGTCCAGCGAAGATCCTCCGTAGGGGAAGCCATTTTCGATCGCTGTCTTGCAAACAATCGGTCCGGAAAACAGTGGGGAGCCATTTTGCGAACCGCCGATCAGCTGTTTTTAATCATCGTCCAGCGGAAAAAAACGGTTCCCAAAGCAGGAACCTAATTGACGTAAAGCGAAAAAAACCCATAGTAACCATCTTTTGCGATTGCTATAGCGATTGCAAAAAACTCATCGTCGAGCGATTTTGTCATCAAGCGGGGTTGTCGTCAAGCGGAGCACCACTGTAATTAGCATTTCTCCCAACCAATGTAGAAACAAAGGAGAATGTGTATTCCCCCTGAAACTCACATCTTTTCCCAACAATTGAAGAATTTTATCAAAAATAGAGCATTGACAAACAGAACATGGAAGTACTTGTATGCTTCTTATCTTTTAGAGACAAATAAGACCATATTGTCCACTAAATCTAAAATATGTATGTGAGAAAACATTTTTTCATAACTTGGGAGAGCAATCTTTTTAAAAAAACACCAATTATACTACATATTTTGTTCTTTAGAGTTTGTCACCACATCACTGCAACAGAACTACTAAGTGCCCATCATGAAAGAATTTGAGTTGCTCCACCCAGTCAGATTGTTTCAGCATCTGTCATCTTGGCCCTAAATTCAGCCAAAATATAGGATGAAAGAATCAAGATGGAACAGACACTTTTCATTGGCTGGTGGAAGAGCAAGTCCTGAATGACTGCTTGCCTTACCTTGCTTGATCTGGTTGACTGCAACAGCTCTGCGATCCACTCCAATCTTCTCCCATTGGCCTGTGGTGTCAAGGTAGTGGGTGGCGATAACTGATGGTGTCATGGTGATCATATTTTGCTCCCCACAGCCAGAAGGGGTTATGATGAGATGTTTCAGATTGGTCCCATCAATTGAGTCTTCAACAATCTGAGCCACAGGGTCACCTGATCACATACATGCACACAGAGAGATGCCAGCATGTCAATCTGGGTGCAGCAAGGAACCGTGTGCCTTGTGCTTTTGCAAGACCTTGCATATCAACAGCTCTTTGCAGGATTGCTTCCCACTCCAGCAGTCACTTTTGGGCATCAAGAACTGCTATACTTAGGGCTTAATTTTGAATTCTTCCCTTATGAGCCTTGCGTGGGAGCTGGGCCCTTCTGGGGAAAAAAACTGATTCTGTTCTTTAACTACATTCTTCCCAAATCCCCCAGCCGGGCTAGGAGGTTTAGAGAGCAGTGGTCCAAAAAAGTAAATTTCCCAGGCTCTGGCATCACTCTCCCTGTGGGAGTGGCTTTGCACACACTTGCACTCAGTGGGATCAGCAAGGAAGGCAATGGATGAAAATGCACTGAGCTGCAGCAAAGGTCGCTGTCCCAGTTGACCTGGAGGTGTTCTTTGATCTTCCTAGCACTTACAGTCCTAGAGTTCTGCACTTGAAAGGGACAAGCACTTGCCTTGGACACGAATTTGGATCTCTGGTTTTGTGTCAGGAACAATATCACTTAAATCCTTGGCTGTGACATTTGTTTCCTGAACTCCACCTGAAAAAACAATAGCAAAGCAAAGTGCACATGTTATGTATCACCCCATACCACTTAAAGCACCCTCTGGGCGGGTTGCAGATTGATTATGCAGGTTACACAGTGGGTAGGATAGAAAAAGGGAATAGAAGCACCAATTACTTCCACATCAAAGTTCTTTTGCATTTCTTTGGCATTGTTTGTCTGCAATCAGTTGTGAGTGGATTTAGATGTTCTACACAGCCGCTTCATAAAAAAATCAGGACCATTCACACTTTATCTTCACCATGCTTAGGATCTGCAAACATAGCTGCATGATTAATTGATTGGTAGAAAATACCCTTCTTGACACTGAATGGAGGGTACATTAGTTCTTACAAGGGTACATGAAGGAAAGCATCCTTGTACCCATGAAAAAGTACTCCCGTATCTGAAAGAATCTGTAAGATGACACTGTAACCTTCACGATGCTGCAAAGCATATTCAAGCTCTTTAGAAAATGGCAGACATTTTTCAAATCTGGAGTAAGTGTGGGGAGTTCTCTCATAAAAACAATTGTTTTATCTTTTTAATTTTTTTATTAATTTTCATAAGGATAGGGGTTACCAGGTACAAATAAGAGGACCAGGTAAAAGAGAGTGGGAAGGTTAGGAAAGGGTAAAATTTCAGAGAGCAAAAAGTATTCTTACATCCCCTTATACAATTGCATTCAAAATGTAAATAATACAAATGGGAAAAAGCATTATAGTAATTTTCCAAGATATCTATCATTACTAATCTTCCATTTCCTTGGACCTTTTTATCTTTAAACTTACTAATTTTACAGGTTTGATATTATTCTGCCAAGTTTATATCTATTTTTCTAAATCAATGTTATAACTATTATTGTGTGTCTATTTTATCATATATTCTTTCGCCACAAAATACTTTATTAAATTTAATATTTCTATCTTTTAACCATCTATAAAACATCTTAACTATCTTTTCTTATTCTGCCATGTTTATATGCACTGCTCTACATCCATATTCTAACCAATATTTTGTGCCCCTCTTATCATGTCATTTTTCATTTTCCATCTAAGGGACCATTTATATAGTACTTAGATCCATTCTTAAGCGCTTCATTCACTCCATATACTGTCTCCTCCTTTGTCCCATCTGCCACAGCATATGTCCCATCATCTCAATTCTTCTCCCTTTCATAGTAAAGTTCACCATTTGCTGCACTTCTGCTGCAGACATTTCCATAAGAGGGGTTAACAAATTAGCTCTCTGCTGCACTGTATCTTCACCTTTTTCTTTTGAAGACTTCTGGAGTTTAAGAATAAAATTGTCTCCCTTTGTTTGTGCTTTTAAAAAGTTAAATTCCTGTCACAGTTCTGGTTTTTTCTCCGTCTGTACTGTAAATTCCATCTGTGTCCCTACAATCTTTAATTTGTTCAAATAGTTGATCCATCTCTGCTTTTATGTGGTGTAGCCCATTAAATATAATGTTTTAAATATCTTGGGAATGTCTTGGTCCATGATTCAAAGTGCCATATTTTTCCATTTATAAGATGATACTTTTCTCTAAAATATTTAGATTAAAAATTTAGGGTGACCTTATACACGAAAGTAAGGAGGGGGAAAGCAGGGATCAAAGTTCTTTGATCCCTGCTTTCCACCTCCACATTATTTGCAAGAAAGTGGAGGGGAAAAGCAGGAATCATCAAAATGATTCATCAAAGTGATTCCTGCTTTCCCCTTCCACTTTATTCTGAAGAAAGTGGTGGGAGAAAGCTCTTTCCTCACTAGAAAGCACTTTATTGTGAGGAAAGTGCTTTCCCCCTCCACTTTCCTCACAAGAAAGCATTTCCTTTTTTTCCCCAAACAAATTTTTTATTATTTTTAAAGACATACCTACATACAAACAAACAGAAACATATAAGACAAACAGAAACATATAAGACAGACACAGCATACAGGCGGGGAGGTATTTTCCATACAGACTTATCCATTATATACTTCTGACTACAGTAGATCTTATACCCTATTCCCATACTACATCATGTTATACACGCATATTATATTTCGTATCTCTATTTCAAAATATCTGATTTAGTATCTAACGTTCTAAAGTTATAATAATTTTATAAATTCTTTCACCTGCATTACCCTCTATCTAATACTCATCATAAACATTCCTAATTCCATCTTTAAGATTGCTTATTCACCAATAAGATCCAAACCAGGATGATACATTCCTCAAAAATCTCCATTTTTGCAGACAAAAAGGTATTATATATCTGATCTTATCTATGAAAACACTATAGTAATCCACACATTTTTGATCTCTATATATGTGCCTTAAAAACAAAAGCATCTAATGTTATTATTCATCATCAACATTTCTAAAATTCATAATTACATACAGTATGCTTGTCTACCCTTCAGATTCCTACCTGGCCATAATTGCTTATACAGTAGTATATTACTTTGAATGTAAATATATATCTCTCAAACCGATGTTTTTTATTGTTTAATCAGCAAGTAAATTTCTTCCTTTTAATTTTTGCTTATCAGCTCCCACTGCTTATAGTATATTACTCCTGTTAATTTATATGTAAATATATATATATATCTCAAACCAATGATTTTTATTGTTTAATCTGCAAGTAACTTTCTCCTTTATCATTTTTGCTTAACAGCTCTATTATCATAGGTCCAAGATTCACCTCTTGCCCCTTTTTGCCCGTTTAAAAATGCCATTTATGGGATCTCTTTAAGGCATGTGAATATGTGTCTCTCAAATCAATGAGTTTTATTATTTAATCAGCCAGTGACTTCTCCCTTTTTCATTTTTGCTTATCAGCTTCAGTATCATAGGATCCAGATTCGCCTCTTGCCTCCTTTTTGCCAGTTTTAAAATGCCATCTGTAAAATCTCTTTAAGGCATTTTCTATCTGGTTCACTAATTTCAACTCAGTATAATCGAGGTCTTGATTTTGGAGCAACATGGATCTATCCGATCTGTCATCATACATTTCTCCCCCCAAATTTGCCCATTTCTCCTCTTTTACATTTTTCCCTATCAAGGCAATTTCAATATGCTTTACCCCCTCATCCCAGCCCCTCCTTTCCTCCTTTTAAAACATTTCATCCTTTTTAATGAGGATAGTCTCTTTTTCTCTCTCCGACAATGGCAAATGTTCAGCAAGTTCAGTGGGTTCAATCAGTTTGTCCCCCATCTCCTGCTTTTTAAGAAAAACAGCCTCTTTCTCTCTCTCTGTTTATAGCAGTTGTTCCATGAGTTCAGTGAGTTCAGTCAGTTTATCTCCCATCTTCAATTTCTAGGCCAAGAAATATTGCCTTGATTTCTTCTTTAATTTCTGAGATTCCCGCCTTGAATTGATCGATGTTCTCTTGAAATTCCTGAAGATAGGCCTCCATTGTATATTCCAATAATGAGTCTCAGACTCTGTCTCCAAACTGTGGCCATAAAAGTAAAACAAGCTACTTGCTCAGATTACCCTCATGGTTCCTTAGCCAGCCCGAACTCAAAGTCCTGCAGAGAGCACTCTAGTAATAAAGATGATTATTTGATTTATAATCCACCTTTATAGTTCGACGGGGAGTCACATAGGTTAAATTGTTGAGAGTTATTTCAAGTTCTCAAGCCTCTGAAAGAAAAACCAATTCTTGGGGATGGAGGGGGGGGCAAAGACAAAGTTAGTTTCACTTTCCCCAGTTCTCGCAGCTGTGACACAGTAAAAAAACCCTCCAAAGTTGCAGGGATTACCAAAGTTCTATGCCGCTTGAGATCTTTTTCCACAATCAGCTTCCAAGAAAGAAATATGTCTATTTATTACTTGCCATAAAGATAGCAGTTCATTTAGTCTTTGTTCCTGTAGTCCATAGGTCGGACAACAGGGATAAATTAAGAGGGGAGGGGGGGTGGGGGGGGGGATGGATGTGGATGGATGTGTGTGTGTGTGTGTGTGTGTGTGAGAGAGAGAGAGAGAGAGAGTGAGTGAGAGAGACTGACTCAATACTATGAAAAAGAATAGGCAAGAAAAAGAGAAATCTTGAATTAAGACAGGGGGTGGGGAAGGGTGGCTTTTTAAGGTGCTGTCTAGGTTTATCATTGCTTTCCTTCCAAGAGGTTCTTTAATTCCTCCTCACTTTCTGTGATGCTTTTGCGTAGTCAATGAAGCAGAAGTAGATGTTTTTCTGGAACTCTCTAGTTTTCTCCATAATCCGCATGTCAGCAATTTGGTCTCTAGTTCCTCTGCCCTTCAAAATCTAGCTTGTACTTGTGGGAGTTCTTGGTCCACATACTGCTGAAGCCCAACTTGTAGGATTTTGAGCAAAACCTTGCTAGCCTGTGAAATGAGTGCAACTGTATGGTAGTTGGAGCATTCTTTGGCACCGCCTTTCTTTGGGATTGTGATGTAGACTGATCTTTTCCGATCCTCTGGCCACGGTTGGGTCTTCCAAACTTGCTGACATATTGAATGTAGAACCTTAACACTCTGGCCACTGCTGAGTTTTCAATTGATGATGATAAAAAAGCACACTGGTCCTTTGACTGTGGCACCAGGGTGGGTGACATGGCCTTTAGCCTGGTTTGTTCCTTTTTGCACACCGCACATAGAATGATTAAAGTGGTAGGGAAAGCCCCCTCCCCAATTCTGCGTTGGCTGTCTCTAGCAAGCTTGTCATTGCTAGCACCACTCTGGTAGCCACTGATGATGATTAAATTCTCTGCGAGCTAGCAAAAATTTAATGCAACTTGCTAGGCACGTTGGACACCTTACTACTCCCTATATCACACCATGGCTGGAGTGCAATGTGTTCCAGCAAAAATAGTGCACATCTTTATCAAATTTGGTGCATCCTGCTAGTTTGGTAGATTCAATAATATTTTGAATAAAAATAATGTATGATTTCCTTCCTTTCGAATCAAGGGGGTAATGTCGGCGTATATAAATTTGTTTTGGGGGGGGAAGGTAAAAAAGTTCCCTGACCCCTGCTGTAGTCAGATCATAAATCTTCATACCTCCCCCTTCTCCAGGCAGCTACTCACCATTCATCATGGCTTCTTCGCGAGTCAGTTGCAATAAGGAAAGGAAATTCTTCTGAAAAAACAGATTACAAGTCTGGATCTCGGGGTTTCCAGGCTCCACTTGCTACAAGTCCACTCTCCTGTAGAAAACCTGCCCCCCTTCCCTGGGGGGTCCGCTGACTCAGAGTAAAACCCAGGGGTTCTCAGAGCCCTGAGAGTTCCCCTGTTCCCGCTGCCTGTTGCTCCTCCCCTTTCACAAGAAAGCATTTTCAACTGAAGGGGGAAAGCACTTTCTTCTCAAGAAAGTGGAGGGGGAAGCACGTTCCTTGCAAGAAAGCACTTTCTTGCAAGGAAAGTGATTTTCCTCTCCACTAGGGAAGCAGGAAATGCTTTGGTGATTCCTGCCTTCCCCCTCCACTTTCTTGTGAATAAAGAAATTCTGGTTTAGAAAAGTGGGGAGGGGTGTGTTTTATACATGTGGGTGTCTTATACATGGAAAACTATGGTATTATCTGGATTTCTTTCCAGCAAGTAGTAAACACAGTAGATGTTCAAAATGGTAGCTTATGTCTTGCGGCAAAAAACATCTAGAATTCAATCTTTCTCTTCAGTCTTCTTAGTTAGCAATGGTTGACAGGGGAAGGACTTTCCTCCTTTTCAAATCTTTTCCCAAGACTGTTTCTTGCTGCTTCAGAGGTTTAACTCCATCAGTAGTTTATGGTTATATAGTCCTGCAGAGGCAAGTTTTATTACTGCACTACAAGCAGTCATTTTCTCTCCCCTTTTCCTCCTTCTATCTGTTTCTCCCAGTCAAGCCTCAGATAAAGGGGGAGGGGAATTGCTTGCCGGTCTGGTCAGATATAGATCAAGTCACTTTCTCTGATAAATTGTACCCACTTTCTTCATTGTTTAGGTCCTCAAGAGTTCTATATGTAAAGCAAGCCACTTACTTCAAGTTCTGGTTAAGATTATTTCCAAAATCTTCTGTACTTTTCTACTCTCTGCCATGGCACTTTCACAGCTTTGTGCCAAGATGGCACCCACTTGATTTCTGCTTCCAAATGTGACTTCAAAGAGAGGCAAATCCATCCCCCGGCTCTCCTCCCTTCTCAGTCAGATTCTATTACTTCAGACTTTCACTTCTCCTAGTAGAAGTCCTTCCACACACCCCAAGTTTGGGGGGGGTGTCAAAACCAAGTGGTCTCAGTCAGTTTCAGGAGCCCTCCTGAAACCTGACCAATCTCGCTGTGATGAAGCCCTGCCCTTTCAAAATAATTGTTTCTGAAAGTATTGTTGGTTTTCTAATTTTCTAGCAAAGAAAAGAGTCCTAGTGTATTCAGTGAGATGTGAATAGGATAGGATTACCGAGAAAAATGACTAGTTCTGTCTAACCTATTGTATGTAGTCCAGTGGTGTATAAACAGTCCAGTCAATGTCATCTGCTAAACACAGCACAACTACGAACCTCTGAAAATTGAGTAAAATGCTAGCAAATGTGTAACCGGCAGGCGTGGGGATGGGAGGAGAAGAGAAAGCAATAAAAGCAATTGGAATAAATATAGAATGTCAGGGAACTCCTTAACCAAAAAAGGAGACTTGAAGAGAATGGAGTCTGATAAAACAATTGACCACTTAAGTAATTAGAAAGAGTCCCATGAAACCTTTAGACCAATGGGTTTTACTTGACATAAGGTTTCATGGACTGCAAAGCCTCAGTAGTCAGACATTTATATAGCACTGGGAATCATATGTAATAGATAACTGGAAATGGCAACTAGAGATTTAAATGGTGGCTGTTAGGAGTCATTCACACATCAGTGATAGGTGATAATAAAAATAAAGTTTTTCTTTAGTTTGATTTCAATATAATGGAAGCCCATGGCCCATTATAAACCCACAGTTCAATGGGTTTATATGCACATTGGTTCATATTATTAGGATGGGACAGAATAAGGTACTGTAGATATTGAGTTGCACAATCAATTACCCCTGAAGATATTAAAGTAAGTAGTTTTCCTTACTAGACAGTGACTGTTTCAGATGAAGCCAGAAGAAACCTGCTTCGCTTCATAGTCTGCTACGGAAACTGTTATGCTATACACAGTACAGCACTCATACATCTGCATGGGTGAGCTGGTTAATATCTACAATGAAGTAAGAAAGCCCTGACATATAGTGTGGTTTAGTAGATAGAGTGATGGATTAGAACTCAGGAGACCTGGGTGCAAATCCCCACTCAACTATGACAAATCACTGGGGAGGGAGGAACTGGTAAAACTACTACTAAAATCTATCACATACCTTGAAAACCCATTGTGGATAACCTTATTAATCCTTCTTAGGTCATTTACTGGTTTTCCCAATGAAGAAAGGGGTACAAAGTTGGCCTTTGACCCTGTATCCAAGGATAGTCCTCCCACCCAGAGATGTAAGGGAAGTGTGACTGTCCAGAATGAGCTCTAGGTTGCCAGTGATATATTGGAGTGGGTTTAGCTGCAAAAAGAGAGGTTAAGACTGGTGGGACTCTGTTGTTCCCTGTTCTGGCTGTAAGGACAGCCTCCTGCTGCCACCCCTGAACTGAAAAGAATGCTCACCAGCAGCAACACACTTTACAACAAAGATACAGACACAGGAATCAAACTATATTTGGACAAGACATTCCCTGCTGTCCATGCAAAAAAAAAAACCTGTTAGTCTTTAAGGTGACACAGAACTCTGTGTTGCTTTTGCTGCAACAGACTAAGATGGCTACTCCTCACCTCTGCATTCCTTCAGGCTGGTAAAAAAGGAAATACGGGAATTATGAATGTCACTACAAAAACTTAGTTAAAGAGGCAGAAAAGGGCAACTCACAATGGCATCAGGTCTACTTTCTGGCAAAAATACTCTGGTGTTCAGTAAAGTATCCAGGCCTGACTGTACCACTGAGGCTGGCTAAGTTTTAGAACAGACTCATAGATTTCAATAGCTCAGTCATCTCACCTAAGAATCCCTCCATCTGCAGGTAACAACCATCAACAGGTAGGCCACCCTTCAAGGGCCCGGATATCCCAAAGTCTCCATTCATACATCTCTGCCGGTTTACCACCAATGCCACTAAAAAAAGGAAGAGCTTTTTAAAATTCCCTCTAGTGTTTATGAAATAAGCCAGATGGATAGCTCAGTGATTGTTACCCGGCTGCGCAACCAGAGGTTGGGAGTCCCACTTTACAAGGATGATCTAAGACACTTTGGTATTGAAGGAAGATGATCCAAACAGTCCAGTTCACCAGGGGACACAATGGAGCAACATTTCCACAAGAAACACATCTCTTCTGTACACGTCTTCAGTATACTATTTCCGTCTTCTCTTTATTTGATCTTGGTCAGATAATGTGCTTCCCTCTTGGTCCTTCAGCATTCCTAATCTAAGTTTAAATTTCTTTTGATCTCATGGATCTTCTAGAAGAGATCTCTTGGTCTTCCCTTTCATTGTCCTTCTCTAATTCTTTGCACTGGGTATTATAATACAGTAGTTCTCTTTCTCTGTGTGTGACAGTTGGTGAAAAATGGCATTCAAGTTTCTAACCCTGTTTCTGTCACCTTTTATTTTTGCTTCTTGCCTGTCCTGTACAATTTTAAAGTGTTTCTTCTGTCATCCATCTAGGTTTCTCTTTTCTTTTCACCTCAGGATTTGTATTATTGTATTCTCCGTTAGTAATATCTCTGGTTTCAATCCGCAAGTCTTCTGGGTCATGGTCATTTGAGTTTAGTAATGCAAATCTATTTATTCCTTATGTGGATTTCAAATTCATCTGGAATGTTGTTTAAATCATATTTTGGCGCAACAGTTCTTTTAGTGTTGTTCTTCTGCTTTAATGTTGGATATTAATACTTCATGATTGGTACCACAATACCCTCTTGGTCTTGTTTTGGCATCCACCTTCTGCATCTCCTGTTTCCAAGTATTCAGTCTATTTGATTTCTGTATTGACCATCTGGTAATATTCGCGTGTACGGTTGTCTGTCTGTGTCCTTGAAGCATGTATTTGAGATAAACAGATTGTTGGCTTCACAGAACTTTATGACTCATTCTTCTGCTTCGTTTCTGTCTCGTAGGTCAAATATTTGAATGACATTTGGTTCTGCCTTGTTCCCTACTTTTGTGTTCCAGTTACCTATGATTATGAGCATGTCTTTGGGTAGAGTGGGCGGCATATACGTTAAATAAATAAATAAATAAATAAATAAATAAATACCACAAGAAAGCCAATATTGAATCAATTGTTAATCCTAGATAGTCTTGCTTTTTGTTCCTACTGAGTTCAGCCATAAAGGACAAATAGCACATAACACAGGCTCAGTTAGATAATGTACTGTTTCATCCAAAAATGTCTACAGGAATGTTTTTGGAGATAAGAAATTGCATGTGGCATGTTAGTGCCCCACAACAAGGCAATGGCTGCAATCCTGTTGCCATAAATGTAAACAATGCAAGGTGGATGATGTCATCATCCAGCAACAGATATATTTAATTCAATGACACTTAAGTCTCCAAACGTCCTCCTTCCATTTTCAAGGCTCCCTAGAGACCCCCTTTGCCTTTGGGAAGCCTTTGCAAGCCTCGGGTTGGAGGAGTCACCTTTGATACTGGAAAATCACCACTGAATCACTATTGGTGATGCAATTCCAGTGGTACAATTGCTGCCAGTGGCTTTCCAATATTAAAGGCTCCCCCTCTCATCTTTAGACTCCCAAAGGCTTTCCAAGGGCAGAAGGGACCCCCAGGGAGCCTCAGAACCTGAAAAGAAATCTTTGGAAGCTTTAAATCAATTTGAGACACCGTTTGCTATATGACAAGACCATTCAGGCTGCTTATACATTAAAATAATAAATTGTTGTTGTTTAGTTGTGACCCCATGGACCAGAGCACGCCAGACCCTCCTGTCTTCCACTGCCTCCCGGAGTTGGGTCAAATTCATGTTGGTTGCTTCAATGACACTGTCCAACGATCACGTCCTCTGTCGTCCCCTTCTCCTCTTGCCTTCACAGTTTCCCAACATCAGGGTCTTTTCTAGGGAGTCTTCTGTTCTCATCAGATGAACAAAGTATTGGAGCCTCCGCGACAGGATCTGTCTTTCCAGTGAGCACTCATGGGTTAATCGCCTTCAGAATTAATAGGTTTGATCTCCTTGCAGTCCAGGGGACTCTCAAGTGCCTCCTCCAGCACCACAATTCAAAAGCATCAATGCTTTGGTGGTCAGCCTTCTTTATGGTCCAGCTCTCACTTCCATACATCACTA